AAAGAAAACGGCATCCAAAATTTTTTTTTTTTTTTTTTTTTTGAGATTCGCTAAAAAAAATATTTTTTTAATTAAAAAATAATATTTATTTATTTATTTTAGGTGTAAGAACTTTTCCATCAAATCTTCAATTAATATGCCAACTTCATATCGATGCGGGTGGGAAGATTATGAAAACGACCGGACGTCTATTTTTGTATTATAATTGTTATTTATATATAAAATTAAGAAGAAAAAAACAATAAAATTTTTGTCATTTCTGATAGTTTGAAATTGTAAATGCATTTAAATAATTTAATTTTTGTGTTAGAAAAAAAAAAAAAGGAGGAATACAATTATTGGAAGAGTGTGATGCATGGCCACCAAATGTGATCCATAAATATAATAGAGCTCGGTTTTGTCCTTTTTTTCATCGGAATATATCTTTGGAAGCAACAGTTTATATTATTAAATAACTTGTATTCATAATTTTCTTTAATGATAAATGCGACATTTAATGACATGGCATAGTCTATGATATGAGACAACGATAGTTTCTTTATTATTGATAAAGACGTAAAATGGGTTGTCATCATGTGGTTGATTTTTATTAAGATTTGATGATGACGACATGTTCGGTGGTTTAATCATATGATTTCCAACCATTTAATTTGTTTATTTTACTATGGGTAATAACTTATATAAATACACAATTTATCTTCGCCTCAAATCTCTTGCCCACAAAGTTAAGGTGGTTGAGTCAATAATCTAATTTGTAATAATTCGTATTCAACAAAAAAATTTATATATTCAAAATTACTTTATAACTTTATTTTTACTCTTTTTACTTGATGTGTTAATATATATATATTTTTTTTCTAAACTTACTATTATCTCCCATGTGCCTATACATATAGGGAGGAAAATAGTAAATTTACATTTTATGTCTATGTTCGGTTTGGTGGTGAATTTTAATCTTAAATTTTCAATTTAGTTTAGTTAAATCTTAAACTTAAATTTTTGGCAAAATTGATGAAGTCAAATTCAAAAAGTCTAAAAAAATATGTATGAGTGAGAATTGGAAATGGTTGTGTAAGCCATCAGTGAGAATCATGAAGACGACGAAGAAAAATTATTACATGTACCAAGAAAGTCATCGAGTAAGGTTTATTTATTATGTCATCTCGAATTTATAATTTATAGCTATTTATGATATTATTAATTCATTTGGGAGATGATTAAAATGTTTTTAATTATTGAATTATTTTTTAAAAGAAAAAAATTATACTGAAAAGTACAATAACTATTTACTAAAAATAGTCCAATAATTTTTTTTTCTCTTTAAAATCTCCGTATCCATCCTATGATTCTAGTGTTCGCTCGGATTGGGTAAAATTGTATGGACAAATAATATACACAGCGGATTTGACTATTCGGACAGTTTCCAATTTTGTCTTCAATTTTTTACTTTTAATATATATATATATATATTATAAAAGCAATGGTTAAAATTTAATAACAAAAATTATATTAATTAACATATTTGAATACATTTTAAAGAAAAATTAATCTGGTCCAAATGATAAAAAAAGAAAAAAAAATATTCATTTTAGGGTTGTTAGATATATTTTTAAATGATTAAATCTGCTATGAATGTTTTCGTAAAATTAAATATTTATATCAAGTAAGTGAGAGTTTTGAGGAGTAGAGAGAGGGCAAGCTTTGAATTACGGAAAATTTACGTATATACAGCTAATAAACAAGCATTGAATCTTATTGTTACCTACTTTATTACCTTTTTAATCCTACAAACATGTTTTTCAATTTCATACTCAATCATTGCACCCAAACCAAACCAAAAGGTTTTTATAAAAAAAAGTATTCAACTTTTTACCCACCTATATGAATATAATATTTAGTATCCGATGAAAATGCCTCAATAATAAACGAAAAAACCATTTCTAACTGGACTGTCTTGTATAAGGCCACAGGCCAAAATATCTACATTAAATGATTGCGAAAATGCATGAAATTAGAAAATTCAACAAAGATAGGGTGATTTATTGGAAATTTTAATTTGTAATTCAAAGTGTATCATTCAACTTTCTCCAAACAACTTCAAATATCATTAAAGTTTTCTAGAAAGGAGCATATATTTGAGGCATAATATTTAGACCTAGGCTACATTTAAATAAATGGGGAATAAATAGATTATATATATATATATATATAATGATACACGTGTATGTGTTTTAATCTGGCATGGAAATTGAATAGTTAGGATTGGAAGGGGGAAAAGAAAAGGAGCCAGGAGGTAGAGAGGAAAATAATTTGGGGAAGGGACAATGTTTATTAATACTCTGGGGCCGCCTTCCATTTACCTATCCAGGTGGGTCGCATCTCCCAATCACTAACCCCCAAATACCTTACTCTATAAAGCTAACCAAACCCACCCTCTAATTTTGTAATCTAACAACCTCCGTTTCAATGCTCAATTGTCTTCCTCTCTCAGAATGAGTCATTTTTCGGGTTCCCATTGTAATAACACTGCCTGTGAATCCGGGTGGACAATGTATTTGGAGGAGTCGTTTGAGACAGAGGGGAGGTTCCGGCCAGGTGCCGTGGATTACGGCGGCAGAGGGAAGGAGGAGGAGGAGGAGGAAGAGGGGGATTTGTCCATGATTTCGGATGCGTCGTCGGGGCCGAGGGATGGGTATTCTGAGGAGAATTGCCAGTCAGTAGGGCGCAATGCGGGGAAAGCCGCGGCGGCCAAAAGCAAGAGGAAAGAGGAAATGGGGCGGCGGAACAAACATTCTTGCCTTGATGACACTGCAAGCTCCCCTGTTTTTGGGCTTTCCAAGGTCGGTTTGCTTCTTCCTCATATCTCTTATTCACATTAAAATTTTATAATTAAATCAATTTAGATTGAATTTTGTTTCTAAATTTTGAATGTATAACTTTCTAAAATTCACGTTGATAAAATATAAGAGAAAAAGCACTAAAACCAAGAGTTGATAAGGACTTCTCATTAATGTAAACAGTTAGTAGTATTAATATAGTGGCATAAAATAAAATCCACTGAATTTAGGCATAAATTATTATTATTATTATTATTTTGTTAAAAAAAAAAAAAGTGTCATATCATAGGAACAAAATAAATTATGAATGTACTAAGAATTTAGAATTGTGAATGATATAAAAAAAAAAAAAAATGTAAGATGTTAGTTGTCGCTGTCAATAATTTGTTGTCAGTCACGTTTTTTGGTTGTGTTGTTTACAGACGAGAGAGACGAATCCATATAGAAATGAAGGTTTGGTGGAGAATGTAAAAGAATTCTCACAAACCCATTCTCGAAAACAACATGGGAAGGTAAAAAAAAAAAAAAAAAAAAAAAAAAAAAAAAAAAAAAAAAAAAAAAAAAAAAAAAAAA